GTCATCCATCCTAGCTACTTACGAGGCTGAGATCTAAGAATTGTGGTTCAAAGCCAGCTTGAGATTTCAACTCCATGAGACTCTTATCTCCAATGAACCACCAGAAAACCAGAAGTGGGACTGAGGTTCAAATGGTAGAGAGCTCAAGTGGTAGAGCTGAAGAGCTCAGGGACAGCACCCAGGCCAGAGTTCAGGCCCCAAGATCAAAAAAGAAATAATAATAATCTAGAGTAAATTTACACACTTTAATGAAAGACTATACATTCAACTTTGTAACTAAATGATTCCTGGTGATCTGTATGCCCACAGGAAAACAGCCTTTCCATAATAAATATATTTTTTTCTTCTGCAAAGAGTAACATTTTAAGGGCTCAGAGTAGGGGAGTACTTGATGCACACCTAGGTTCCAACCCTAAAACAAAAACAAACAAAAACACAGGTGTGGCTGTATTTTCAGTGTCTTCATTAAATAGACATTTAAGGAGAAGCAAAAACGAACAAAGTTCAACTACATATCACTCATAGGACATTAAAAAACATCAGGTACTACAAGTGTCTGACTTGTAATGGTTACTTACAACGGGATCATCTATAATGTGTTGTTGTTGTTATTGTTTTTAAATCTCACAAGTTATAACAAATCTTAACTATTATTAGCAATTAAAAAAAATCATACTAGGCTGCCAGTGGCATCGCTCAAGTGGTTTAGCCCTTTACTAGCAAGTATGAAGCCCTGAATTCAAACTCCCATAACCCAGCCATGGAGGTGGAGGGTCAAGCTTGTAATGGCTACTCAGAAGACACAGATCTGAGGAACTCAGTTCCAAGACAGCTGGGGCAGCAAAGTCTGAGAGACTCAAATTAACCACTAAAAGGCCAGAAGTGGAGCTATGGCTCAAGCGGTAGAGTGCTAGCTAGACTTGTACAAAAAAGCCCAAGCTCTGAGTTCAAGCCCCAGGGCCAGAACAAAAAAAAAGTGGGTCTGGCTGGGAAGGTGGCTCAGTGGTAGAGTGCTTGCCTTGCATGCATGAGGCCCTGGGTTCGATTCTTCAGCACCACATAAGCAGAAAAAGCCAGAAGTGGCACTGTGGCTCAAGTGGTAGAGCACTAGCCTTGAACAGCTGAGGGACAGCGCCCAGGCCCAGAGTTCAGGCCCCACAACCGACAAAAAATAAAATAAAATAAAAATAAAGTAAAATAAATATATCAGTCTACTGACAAGGCTCCCTTTCACCAGTAAAGTTTTCCTTATCTTCACTACCATTTCACAATGACTTACCCTGAATACCGGAGCAGACAGGCAACCTAACTGTTTCGGATACAACCACCCAGTGCTGTACCAGAAGCTGAATGAAGTCAACCTCATCCCTCCAGGGCTCCCAACGTCCTTCCTACTTCAGTATAGGACTCCCATCAAAGCATTCCCAATTCTAATTCCAAACCAGTAGAAACAGTAATCAATCATTCCTACCTAGGTGTTTGCTATGATAAAATTAACACCAATCTATGGAGCCTAGAAAATCCTATTCCCTTCCTTTCACTTCCCAGATTCGCTCAAAGACTCACTGCACTTGCTTTTCAGGAGGCTGAGATCTGAGGATTGTGGTTCAAAGTCAGCCTAGGAAAGAACGTATGTGAGACCCTGGTCTCCAATTAACCACCAAAAAAAAAAGCCAGAAGTGAAGCTGTGGTTCAATTGGTAGAAGGCTAGCCTTGAGCACAAAAGTTTAGGGACATACTCAAGCCCTGAGTTCAAGACCCGGTAGTAAGACACACATACACAAAAATTCACTCAAGAAGCCGGGCCCAGAGTTCAAGCCCCACGACCGACAAAAAAAAAAAAATAATAATTCACTCAAGATTCACCAAGCAAGAAGGTAACAGTGCTCCATAGGAAATGTACTCATTACCTTACTCATATAACTGTAACCTTCTATACAGTATTTTTACAATAAAAAACATATTTAAAAAAAAAACTCACTAAGCAGCCAGGCACCAGTGGCTCACACCTGTAATCTTAGCTACTCAGGAGGAGAGATCTGAGGATTGCAGTTCAAAGCCAACCGGAGAAGGAAAGTCCATGAGACTCTTACCTCCAATTAACTACCAGAAAACTGGAAGTGCTGCTGTGGCTCAAGTTGTAGAGCGCTAGCCTTGAGCTGAAAAGCTGAGGGAGAGCACCCAGGCCTAGAAATGAAGCCCCACGACAGACACAGACACACAAGATCCACCAAGCATGGTGGCACAGGTTTATAACCCTCAGCACTGGGGAGGCTGAGGCAAGAGAATCTCCAGCTTGAGGTCAGCTTAGCAAGACCCTGTCTCAAAAAGTAAACCAATGAAAACATAGCAAGTTGGAGAGACACGCGTGCTTATAATTAACACTAGGTGACACTAACCATCTCTCAAAACTGTGCAAGGTGAAATAACTTGCTGACCAGTAGGAATAGCTCTGAATGTATATAGAGATATGAATAAAACATGGCAAAGTTAAAAAAAAAAAAAAACTTGACAAAATCTAGCAGGATGCCAGGAGCTGGTGGCTCATGCCCGTAATCCTAGCTATTCAGGATACTGAGATCTGAGGATTGTGGTTCAAAGCAAGCCCTGGCAGGAAAGTCCATGAGACTCTCTCTTATCTCCAATTAACCACTAAAAAGCTAGAAGTGGATCTGTAGCTCACGTGATAGAGCTAGCACTGAGCAAGAGTTCAGGGGCAGCATCCAGGCCTGGAGTTCAAGCTCCACGACTGGCAAAAAAAAAAAAAAAAACAAGTTAGAGGGAACTGCCTCAGCCCAAAGAAAACTTCTAAAGCCCCTATCCAAAGACCATGTCCCCCACATCTTGCTAATGCCTAGAGACAAACAAGATGCTATGTACTGCTTATGCAAAGCAAAAAAGTCAACTGAGAGGCTTTCTCCAGCACTGGTGGCTTCTGATCCTACCTGAAGGCCTAAACCAGTGAGTTGGAAAAAAAGATAGCTGAGTTGTGGTGGCTCATACCTGTAATCCCAGTACTCAGGAGTTCAAAGCCAACCTGGGCAACACAGTGACAGCCTGTCTCCAAAGTTTCAAGGGATGAGGAAGGAGGCGATGAAATAAAGGAGGCAAGGTAGAAGAAAAAAAGGGGGGGAGGTTAGAAGCACACATCTATGAGACCTTAAGCAGCTATTCTTGTCAACGTGCTATTTCACAGAAATAAAATTTAAGAAAAATAAGGAGCAGCCTTAAATTTCACATGTACAGGAATCTGAGCCTGTGGAACCTTAATACTAGAAGAAACTAAAGGAAGTATTGCCTATACTAGATAGTCTCCATCAGGAAAAACAAAAATCTGCAGACAACTAGGCACTTCTCAGCCCCAGGCTGATCCAAGCTCCCAGAAGATAGGGAAACTGATAAGTCAGTGCCAGGTGCTGGCGAGGCACAGCCTGGCAATTCCCCAGCCTCCAATCTCTACTAGAATCATTCAGACAGCACAAGAGCCTGCACCAATTCCATCCCCAAATCCCCAAGACCAGGAGCTACTCACATGGCCAAGAGACATTTGAGAGGTAAAGACCTCTACAAAGCTCTACAAAGGACAAGGACAGTGGCACCTGCTAGGGTCCCGAGACCTTTCCTCTGACCCTTGCCAGCTGTGAATGAGACTCTGGTACCCACACTTCATTCACAGTCTGATTGGCTGCGGTAGCTACATCCCAGGCCACACACTAAAGACAGGACAGTGAGTAATCCATGGAGATTCCCAACGACAAATACCTGAGAACCCAAGACCCTGAGGTCAGTCCACAGTATTAAAGAACTAAAAATTAAAGGAAAAGCTGCCCACTTTACTGATACCTGTTACAGAAACAGCAACTTGACAGCAATTTTGAATACATCAATAAGAATTTGGCAGCAGTCTTGTACACCTTAAGAAGTCGACAACAATTTTGTATGCATTGAGAAAAGCCGCTAACTCTCCCCACGTTCTGGCATTGCACAAGGGGGAGGAGGGGGAGGAGATACAGGCAGAGTATCCGTCACCCCCAAATAATCAATCCAGGCAGACAGCAAACAGGGGCAGCAGCTGGCCAGGACGCTCGAGTCTCCATCACTCAACTACTTTAGAAATCCAAGTAGAAAAGAGGTTGTTGGTATCTCAGTCTGGGTCTCAATCTCGCAGATAAGTGATCCTGAATATTGCACCGCATCTTCGTTGGGGGGTGTAAATACTAAGTAACCCGGAAAACACTTAAGATCAATGGAAACCAAGGGATCCAAAGACACAGCCAGTTGCAACCCTCCCAAGTTTAGATCTTGATCGGGAGACCCCCCTAGCAGTCTTGGCCAAGGAGGAGGGTTTCCAGGGAGAAGGTGGGTAGTGGGGGGGGGGGGTGAGTTAAGGTATCCGTCTGTCTGCGCTTGCGAGCACAAAGAGGTGATACTTCCCGCCTGGGGAACCTGGGACCCTCCTGGACCCCGGGGAGTGATGACTGGGACAAAGGGAAGGGGGGTAAGTGAGGGGGTTCATTCCCGCGGGGCGCCCGCCGGGATGCTCCGGACCGACCCGAGGGGGGTGTGTGCTCCAGGCACGTGCGCGCGTGCGCGGGGCCCAGCAACAGACAAAAGCCCGGCCCGGGGGAGGCGGCGGCCGCGGGGTCCGGTGCGCGCGCACCCCCCACGAGAGGCACCACCGCGGGCCGAGGGGCCACGTAAGGGGGGAGCGGATGCGCGCGCACCGGGGCCCTCGCCGCCGCCGCCGCCATTTTGTTTCCTTGGCACAATGGGGCCAGAGTTAACGGCCGAGCGCGGGAGAGAGGCCGGTGAAGCAGAGAGGGAAGGGGAGGATGCGACGCTCGGGGGGCGAGGAGACCACGCGGAGACCGCGGGGACGGCACACGGGCGACAACATCCTTGTCACCGTCACCCCCTCAGGCAGGAACCCGCGCAGGCGGAGGAACGGACGGAGGAGGGGCGGGGAGCCGGGCCCAGCCGCCGCCACACTGACGTTTTACCTTGTCGGCGACCCCCTTCCCCAACCGCAGCCGCCGTCACCGCCCTCCTGTCACAGCCCGCCGGGGGTCTTCCCCTCAAAAGCCACGCGGGACAGCGCTGGGCGGCCGAATCCAACTGCAATGGCGAGGAGAGGAGGAGGAGCTGGGGCCGGGGGCGAGCGGGCGGGCGGGCGCGCGCCGGGGAGGTGCGGGGACACGTGACCGGCCGGGGCCCCGCCCCCCCGGGCTTCACGTCGCGGCCCGACGCAAGCGCGGCCTCACTGGCAGGGCGGGACCTTCGAAATGGGCGGGGCGCGGCCTGCGCACGTGATGATGGCGTCAGCGCCCGTCCGGCCCTCTTCGCGCGCCTTTGCTTTGGTCACGTGACGGCGGCGGCGACCAAAGCCCTTCGCCACGTGACAAGGACTTTGGGGGAGCCCTGCCTTCCCATCTATTGGTGGCTCTGCGTCACGTGAGGAGACTCCGGCTTTATTTTTTTCAATGGCGGTTACGTGACGCTCGAGAAGGGGCGGGACCTCCGGGCGTCTGCGCGTTTGTGCGCCTGCGCGGGTTCCGTCTCACGTCATTCGGCCCGTAGTGCGCGGACGGCAACGCCTGCGCGGACGGCACGTGCGGAGGCTCTGTCCAGCGGGGAGGCGCGTCCGCCGGCGGACCCGGCGCCTCTGCCTCCGGAGCTGTGTGCCGGGCACCTCCTGAGCTGAGCCCGTCCTCGCCGCAGGTCGACCCCGGGACTCGCCCTGGTGAGCGCCGCAGCTCTCCTGCTGTAGCACCGGCTCTGACTCCGACGGCGGCGGAGTCTCCTGGCCGCGATCATCCGGGACCTTCCACCCACCCCTCTGACAGCTGGGGAAACTGAGGCCCAGACCAGCAAAGATCTGCTCCAAGAGCTCGCGTCTGGTTCGTGCAGTGCTCACGCCTGGCCTCCTAGCCCCTCGGGGGGGCTGAGGCTTAAGGATCGTGGTTCAAAGCCAGCCCGGGTGAGAAAGTCTGTGAGACTCTTATCTCCACTTAACTGACCGAAATCTGGAAGCGGAGCTGTGGCTCAAGTGATGGCGCATTATATGTCTTGACGACACCCAGGCCCAGAGTTCGAGCACCAGGACTGACACCAAAAAAGGGGGGGAAAAAAGAAGTATATGCTGGACCCCATGGTTTTCTGATTTATTTACGTTGTGCATCCGCGTTTCTTGTTCCTGTTTAATGGTCGCTTTGTATTTTGGAGATCACAGCATTTTATGTTGCCCAGGCTGGCCTCGTACTTGTAATCCTTCCGCTTCTCATTATGTCTCCCCAAATGAATGATGAGTTGTACTTGGGCAAAATTCATCCAAGTGTATGTGGTTGAAGATCAACCGTGGCCAGATTGAGTAATGTACATAGTCCCATTTGAAGCCCCAACCAGGGAGATAGTGGCTCTGAATGGCTCCGGAAGGAACAGGCACTTGTCCAAGTGACTTGCATAAGCAAACAGCGCTCCCAAGTGGCAGGACTAGAATAATTTCTAGTTTTCCAGGTCTGGGGATAATCAGGGGTTCACTAATGGAGAAAGAGCAGTTGGGGCTGACTGCAGTTGGACAGATCTGTCATATTGGCCCAAAACAGATAGCACATGCTTTCCACCAACATAATCTCCTGGCTGGGCTTGATACTCAACATTAGAACATTTGGCTAACAGGCTACAATCCCTGGCTTCCAGTTTTTAGCACCAAGGAATAAAATGTGCAAAGCTTTCTCCATAGATGATCAAGAACTGGGCTGGGAAGGTGGCTCTGTGGTAGAGTGCTTGCCTAGCATGCATGAGGGCCTGAGTTCAATTCCTCAGCACCACATAAGCAAAAAAAGCCAGAGTGGCACTGTAGCTCAAGTGGTAGAGTGCTGGCCTTGAGCTGAAGAGCTGAGGGACAGCGCCCAGGCCCAGAGTTCAGGCCCCATAACTGGCAAAAAAAAAAAAAAAAAAAAAAAAGAAGAACTAAGCAAATTCTAGAATTGTTAAAATCTTTGTAGATTTTTTTTTTTTTTTCCAGTTTTGGGGCTTGAATTCAGGGCCTGGGCACTGTCCCTGAGCTTCTTTTGCTCAAGGCTACCACTCTACCACTTGAGCCACAGTACCACTTGCGGCTTTTTCTGTGTGTATGGTACTGAGGAATCAAACCCAGGACCTCATGCAAGCCAGCAAGCCCTCTACCACTAAGCCACCTTCCCAGCCCCTGTAGAATTTCTTTGCATGCCCAGGATATAGCAAGTGCTGAAGAAAAATTGTTCACTTGGGGCTGGGAAGGTGGCTCAGTGGTAGAGCGCTTGCCTTGCATGCATGAGTCCCTGGGTTCAATTCCTCAGCACCATATAAGCAGAAAAAGCCAGAAGTGGCGCTGTGGCTCAAGTGGTAGAGCGCTAGCCTTGAGCTGAAGAGCTGAGGGACAGCACCCAGGCCCAGAGTTCAGGCCTCACGACCAACCCTTCCCCCCCAAAAAAAAAAAATTCACTTGTAATATTTTGTTATTGTTAGTAATGGTTATGGATGGGGCTTGAACTCAGGGTCTGGGCACTGTCCCTGAGCTCTTTTGCTCAAAACTAGTGCTCTTACCACTTGAGCCACAGTACCACTTCCGGTTTTTGAGTGGTTAATTGGATGAGTCTCTCACTGGGACTTTTCCACTCAGGCTGGCTTCAAACCAAAATCCTCAGATCTCAGCCTCTTGAGTAGCTAGAATTAAAGGCGTGAGCCATTGGTACCCAGCTTTCCTGAGATTCTTCTTGGGTCTGGTCATGGGGCCTGAACTCTGGGCCTGGGCACTGTCCCTCAGCTCTTCAGCTCAAGGCTAGCACTCTACCACAGCACCACTTCCAGCTTTTTTTTTTGCTTTTTGCTTATGTGGTGCTGAGGAATCGAACCAGGGCCTCATGCATGCAAGGCAAGTGCTCTACCACTGAGCCACCTTCCCAGCCCCTTTCCTGAGATTCTTATTCCCAATTAACTGTCAAAAAGGCCAGAAGTGGGCTGGGAAGGTGGCTCAGTGGTAGCATGCTTCTTTGTGTGCATGAGGTACTGGTTTCAATTCCTCAGCACCACGTAAACAGAAAAAGCTGGAAGTGGTGCTGTAGCTCAAGTGGTAGAGCATGCATCTTGAGCTGAAGAGCTGAGGGACAGCGCCCAGACCCAGAGTTCAAGCCCCAGGACTGGCAAAAAAAGAAAAGGCAGGGAGTATAGTTCATATATGCATGGCCACCAAATATGCTTCAATCCTCAATATAGAAGGAAAAAATAGTGCGGGTGAGACAGCAATGCAAAGAAGTAGGTAGAGCAGTGGTTTGCAGGAATTCTGAATTCTGTCCTTTCTTTTTTTTTGGTTGGTCATGGGGTCTCAACTCTGGGCCTGGGCGCTGTCCCTCAGCTCTTCAGCTCAAGGCTAGCGCTCTACCAGTTGAACCACAGCGCCACTTCTGGCTTTTTTCTTATGTGGTGCTGAGGAATGGAACCCAGGGCCTCATGCATGTGAGGCAAGCGCTCTCCCACTGAGAAACTTACCAGCCCTGTTCCTCGCTTCAGCAGTGTTTGGAGAGAACGGGGCAGGGACCTGCACTTTCAAACCCAACTATCTTGGTGTCTTGTCTCCATTCACTACACTGAATCTTAGCTTCTCACTCATCTGCTTCCAAACCAAGCCAGCACTTTGGATTTGTTTTGTTTTGTTCTGTTTCTGGTAGCGGGGCTTGACCTCAGCACCTGAGTCCTGTCCCTTAGCTTGTTTGCTCTCAAGGCTGGTGTTCTACCACATAAGCCATAGCTCCACTTGCTGACGCTCTGCTGGTTAATTGGAGATAAAAGTCTCACAGACTCTATTGCCCAGGCTGGCTTCATCAGATCTCAGCCTTCTGAGACTCTTTTTTTTTTTTTTTCTTTCTGCTTATATGGTGCTGAGAAATCGAACCCAGGGCCTCATGCATGCAAGGCAAGCACTCTACCACTGAGCCACCCTCCCAGCCCATGATCTCAGCCTTCTGAATAGCTAGAAGTGTAAGCACAAGACATGAGCACCTGTCTGTGCAACTTCTTAGCCACTGACTCTGAATTCCCTCCAAAACCTTGGACCCATAGAAAAGAAAGATGTTTAAGGGAAAGGGAGGAAAGCAGCACATGGAGATCATTTCTGGCCCAAGCTCTTGGGGTGTGGGGCCTGGGGACCAGAGTGAAAGCAAGAGGGAGAGTTGGGGAGCTGAGGGTGAGGAGGTGGTAAATAGATGGTACAGAATGTATGGTTCCATGGAGGTCTTTATTGTTTAGTTTTTGCTGGTCCTGGGGCTTGTACTCAGGAACAGGGCACTGTCCCTGAGTCTCTTTGTGCTCAAGGCTAGCACTCTACTACTTGAGCCACAATGCTATTTCCAGCTTTTTCTGAATAATTTATTGGAGCTGAGAGGCTCATGGGGACTTTCCTGCCTGGGCTGGCTTTGAACCGTGATCCTCAGATCTCAGCCTCCTGAGTAGCTAGGATGACAGGTGTGAGCCACCAGTGCTCGGCTAGCCTTCGCGTTCTTGAGCACAGCAGAGACTATGATTGGCTCATGGGGATGCTCATAGGAGCCTTCCTGCCCCTCTGTGGAGGAAGGCTGTATGTATGGAAGGTGTAGGAGCCAGTGATCAGCTTGGCAGGACTGCTGGTGGCCTGGGTGAGTGAGGGCAGAAGACCTGGGAGGAGGATGTAGAGCAGTGGGCGGGGTCAGGGGCTGCTCTGCAGGTGGGTGGGGCTAGCAGGCCCCAGGGTTAAGGAAATGTTGAGATTTAAAATTCCAGTTTAAGGGCTGGGAAGGTGGCTCAGTGGTAGAGTGCTTGCCTTGCATGCATGAGGCCTTAGGTTCAATTCCTCAGCACCACATAACCAAAAAGAAAAAAAGTTGGAAGTGGCACTGTGGCTCAAGTGGTAGAGCGCTAGCCTTGAGCTGAAGAGCTGAGGGACAGCGCCCAGGCCCAGAGTTCAGGCCCCATGACCGGACCCCCCCCCAAAAAAAAAAAATCCAGTTTTACTTGTATTGAAGGTGAGCCAGAGAACAGGTTTAAGTGCTTTTTGCACCCTAAAGCTGAGTGAACTTGGGCCACATAGCCAGACCAGTCTGCTTATATTCCATCCTTGGCAAAATAGTGGCAGAAGAGGTGGTTTATGTTCAGAAGGAAGGAAGGACAGAGCCCTTGGTACCCAGATAACAGGGTTTGCATGAGTTTAGTATGGGGAGGGGGTAACTGCAGGTGTTGGCAGAGAATAGGTAAGTATAGTATTCCCCTTATCCAAGGTTGCAGACTTTTAATGTTCAGTCGGCTCTACATCTGTCTTGCCTAGACCATTTGACCTTCACAGGATAGTTTTTAGTTTCCAACCTCTTAACCCTTTCCTGGCCTTACGGCCTGGCCTGAAAGCCTTATGGGCTACGCTCACCAGGGAATGTTTACAGCCTGAGCACCTGTCTTTGGTGGCTTGCCTGGTATCTGTGTGCACCTGGGAAAACACAGTGTGGTTCAATCCTTCATATTCCATCTATGGATACATAGGAAAAATGGGCCAAGAGGAGAGAGACGGGTCCTTCATATAAGAGTCTTTGGGTACATAAAAATAATGGGATGAAAGGGGAGCAACATGGGGCTGGGAAGGTGGCTCAGTGGTAGAGCGCTTGCCTTGCATGCCTGAGGCCCTGGGTTCAATTCCTCAGTACCACATAAGCAAAAAGAAAAAAGCCGGAAGTGGTGCTGTGGCTCAAGTGGTAGAGCTCTAGCCTTGAGCTGAAGAGCTGAGGGACAGCGCCCAGGCCCAGAGTTCAGGCCCCACAACTGGACCCAAAAAAAAAAAAAATGTTGGAGGAATTAGGCACCAGTGGCTCATACCTCTAGTCCTAGCTACTCAGGAGGCTAAAATCTGAGGATCAGATCTCCATTCAAAGCCAGCCTGGGCAAGAAAGTCCGTGGGAGTCCTATCTCCAATTAAGAAATTTAAAAAAGCTGGAATTGGGGCCACCGTGGCTCAAGTGATTGTTAACTTTGAGCAACAGGGCCCAGGCCCTGAGTTCAAACCCCAAGACTGGCACTAAAAGAAAATCAAGGGGCTGGGAAGGTGGCTCAGTGGTAGAGCGCTTGCCTTGCATGCATGAGGCCCTGGGTTCGATTCCTCAGCACCACATAAGCAGAAAAAGCCGGAAGGGCACTGTGTGGCTCAAGTGGTAGAGCGCTAGCCTTGAGCTGAAGAGCAAAGGGATAGGGCCCAGGCCCAGAATTCAGGCCCCACAACCAGGAAAAAAAAAAGGTTATAGCTAAGTGCTGGGAGTTGCGCAGTGTAGCACAAGTGGTAGAGCTTTTTGGTAGTTAATTGGAGAGACACATCTCACAGACTTTCCTGCCCATACTGGCTTTGAACCTGGATCCTCAGCTCTCAGCCTCCTGAGCAGCTAGGACTACAGGAATGAGCCCAGGGCGCCCAGCTTCATTTATTGCTTAGAACAGACAATGCCAATGTCAGACAGCAGAGGGCAGCAGTGCACTGGCAGCCAGCCTGGCTATGGGGCCTCAGGTGAGGGGACCCTGGAGGATGTGTCCAGGGCACATGACTGAGGACGTGGGAGGAACATGGCTGCCTTGGGACTCCAGGGATCCAAGCCTAATAAAGACCATTTGTTTCCCAGGCGCCTCCAGGAGAAATCTGAGCTGCCTGGATGGCAGGGGACCTGGCGCGGCCAGCAGACAGTGGGCTTCCTGCCCGCCCCGCCCCTCTCCTTTGCAAAAACCATCCCAGATCATGGGAGCCGGCAACCCCCACAAACACCAGGCCTGGTAGCTGTACAAGAGGCACTTTATTAGGGGCTTGTATGCAGTTAGACACGGGGAGGGCTGGGAGAAGGGGCGGGCAGGCTGGGGGCAGGCAGTCTCCCCCTGGGATCCTAACATATGGCAAAGGACATATAACGAGTTTGGCAAAGGATCCCCAGGGTTTGTGATGAACAGGCAGAGAGGGTTTTCCCTTGTGTGTGTGTGTGTGTGTGTGCATCCCGGGGCTTGCACTCAAGAACTCAAGAAGCTGTGCCTTAGCTTCTTGGCTCAAGGCTGGTCCTCTACCACTTAAGCCGTGGCTCCGCTTCCAGCTTCTTCGTGTGTGGGTCGTGGGGCTTGAACTCTGGGCCTGGGCGCTGTCCCTGAACTCTGCAGCTCAAGGCAAGCGCTCATCCACTTGAGCCACAGCACCACTTCCGGTTTTCTGAGTGGTTCATTGGAGATGAGTCTCATGGATTTTTCCTGTCTGCGTTGGCTTTGAACTTGGATCCTCAGATCTCAGCCTCCTGAGTAGCTAGTGTGACAGGCGTGAGCCACTGCCACCTGGCACTTCCAGCTATTCAACCCTAAATACCCAGCCGCCTGAGTACTTAGCATTAGCACTCAGCCAGACCCTTTCTTCCTTACCCAAGAGCGCAGCATGGAAAACAGGCACAGGAAGAGGGGAAACTGAGCTTCCAGCCAGCCAAGCCAGCCTGCCTGCAATTTCCATTACAGATCCATTGCTAGGTCTGACTATTCAAGCCTGTTCCCCAACTCCTCTCCTTCCATCCGGGGTCCCTCATGGGAACTCTTAAGCCAGATCTCCATCCCCCACCCCCTCCACACACACACACACACATACACATACACATACCAGCCCGGCCACCCCTGGCTGGGCGGGAAACAATGAAGGCACTAAGGGGCATTTCATATCCATCCGGCTGTGGAGGCCGATGGAAGAAAAGCTACTAGACCCTTTAATGCAGGTCCAGGTTAAAAAGTCCTCCAGAAATGCATGGGAGGGCCCTTGGGCCAGTTGTTCAACCAGTGGAGATGGGGCCTTGGCCCACAGGGGAGGGGGCAGTGGGCGGAGCTTGGCACCACCCAGTGGGCGGAGCTTGGCTCCAGCAGCTCCTCCTCCTCCCGCTCAGTCTTTCCCATCCACTGTGGAGAAGCAGCCAGGAAGCACGCAGGAGCCAGGCAGAGATGGAGTCACCTCCCAACTGGATTCGTCACCATCCGGACCTGGAGGGGCTGGGGTGACTCACGGTGTCCTTTCTGGCTACTATAAAACGTGGCTGTGGGCACAGAGAGGCAGTGTGGCATGAGGTGAAGTCCGACAGGCTTGGAGGGGTGCGGGGGGTCCTGAGCCAGCTGCCCTCTGAGCACCCTGGGGGCGTGGCGGGGGGTGGTAGAGGTGGACAGAGGCGACAGAGGCCCTGGCCTTTAGGACTCAGCCAACTTCTTGTTGGTCTTGTTCAAGAGTTTCTTGAGAGTCGAAGACATGAAGTAAGGCCTCTCTGCGGAGCCGTCATTCCTCTCCAGGTCCTCCACTAGAAAGAAAGGCCACAGAGCGGCTGGCATGAGAGCCGGCCCCCGGGCATGGGGGGGAGCTCTGCAGAAGGGCATGGGCAGTGAGGGCCATTAGAGAAGCATCAGTGGGTTAGAATGCGAGACACACGAGGCTCGGAGAGAGAGGCGAGATGGGGGTTCACACAATCCCCCCATACTCCCAGGCCACTAAGTCTCCTCCCCTCCCCACTTTGGCATGCACTGCCCCCCCCCGGGGGTCTCCAAAGAGAGGCCACCTGGACCCTCTGGATGACCAGGAACACATCGGTCTGTCTCTCTATTCCTCCACTTCCGCCCGCTTGCCCTCCTCCGCACTCCCCTTCAATAAGATGTCTCTCAGCTCGGGCGACATGAAGTAGGGTCGCTCCTGAGAGCCGTCATTCCTTTCAAGGTCCTCACCTGGGCCCCCCGGGCACCAACCGGCAGGGGGAGAAAATTGGGGTAGCCAGGAAAAGGAGGGGGACAGGAGGGGAGGCAGGGAGGGAAGAACAGGGGAGGGCCAGCAGGCATGAAGGAAAGAAAGGAAAAGAAACGAGGGGCAGGGGGAAGACAGATGGAGAAATCAGAGTTAGTAACAGCCGCAGGTGCCCCGACCCCAACGAAGCCAGAAAACTTCCCAAATCCAGGGGACTCCTCCCCACCCCCCAAAGAGGGGAAGAGCCATCCGTGAGCACAGAGGAAGCAGGGAAGGCATGCTGGGACCCCAGGACAAAGGGCAGCCAGGGCCTGGGGGACGTGGAGGCAGGGACCGGTGTTACTCTAGTGAGGGGGTCAGGGCCTGCAGGGCTGGGGGAGGGGCCACTCACAGAAGCAGAGGAACAGCGTGTCCACACACATGCCGTAGACGCTGAAGAAGCCATGAGCGATTAAGTAGGAGCCGACGATCACCGTCTAGGCAAAGCAAGAGGGTTTGCCAGTGTGCACCCCCAACTCCTGCCCACACAAACCCTCCCCACCCTGTCCTCCCTAAGCTAGGATCTTGACTTTCCCAGCCTACTCCACATGGTTTTTTTCCTTGTGATATTTTTTCTTTTAAGTCGATCATTGGGCCTGAACTCTGGGTCTGGGCGCTGTCCCTCAGTTCTTCAGCTCAAAGCAAGTGCTCTACAACTTGTGCCACAGTGCCACTTCCGTTTTCTGGTGGTTCATTGGACATAAGAGTGTCACAGACTTTCCTGCCCAGGCTGGCTTTGAGCTGCGATCCTTGGATCTCAGCCTTCCAGCTACAGGCGTGAGCCACCAGCGCTGACATTAAATGTGAGATCCTCCTGCTTGCGACCTCCCAAGTGGCTGGAACTGCAGCAGTACGCAACCACACCCAGCTGTCATCACGTCCTGCTCTATCCCTTGCTATGGCAAGCAATGTCCACTGGCTGAAGCTGAGTGGACATTAGAGAGATTCAATAACTTGACCAGTTAGTTACTCATGTTGGGACTAATAGCAAAGAGGAAGTGAGATAAAAATCTAGGTCACCAGAACCTAGGACCTACACCATTCCTGGATGAGACTCATTCTCTCCATGGCCCTGTCACTTCCCTGTGGCTTAACACCACCGTGTGTGTGTGTGTGTGTGTGTGTGTGTGTGTGTGTGTGTGTGTGTGTGTGTTTGCACGCATGCGTGCGCCAGTATTGGAGCTTGAGTTCAGAACCTTGTGCTCACCTTTAGTTTTTTTTCCCTCAAGGTTGGCATTCTACCAATTGAACCACAGGTCCACTTCTGGCTTTTTGCTGATTAAATGGAGCTAAGAGTGTCCAGGGGTTTGTCTGCCTAGGCTAGTTTCAAACTGCAAACCCTGGAATCTCAGCCTCCTAAGTAGCTGGGATTAAAGGCTGACTCAACAGCACCTGACCTTCAGCTTCACCTTTTCACTCTTCTATCAGCCTAACTGGTTCACGTTTGTTCCTGGTGGGGCCGTGCCTCAGGGCTCCATACTTACAGTTCCCCCAGCTTGGATTTTGCCTTTACCCTCAGCACTCAGATTCAACCTGCGCAGACCCTCCAACCACACCTAACATTTCTTTGTACTGTGGAGTTGTGCTGGTGGCACGTTCCAGTTAATAATCACATTTTGGGGGGATTGGTTGTGGGACTTGAACTCAGGGCCTGAGTCCTGTCCTTGGATTTTTTTGTTCAAGGCTCGCCCTGGGCCACTTTGAGCCGCAACGCCACTTCTGGTTTTTGAGAGGTTCACTGGAGATGAGAGTCTAAAGGGGACTTTTCTGCCCGGGATGGCTTCGAACCACCATCCTCAGATCTCAGCCTCTGAGTAGCTAGGATTACAAGCGTGAGCCACCAGCATTTTTTTGAGACAGGGCCTCTCACCAACTAGTCCTGGCTGGCTCCAAACTCTCAATCTTTTTTTTTTTTTTGGGTCCGGCCGTGGGCCTGGGCACTGTCCCTCAGCTCTTCAGCTCAAGGCTAACGCTCTATCACTTGAGCCACAGCACCACTTCCGGCTTTTTTTCTGCTTATGTGGTGCTGAGGAATCGAACCCAGGGCCTCATGCATGCAAGGCAAGCACACTACCACTGAGCCACCTTCCCAGTCTTAAACTCTCAATCTTATGTTCTCTGCCTTCCCAATGCTGCGATTACAGGCAGGCACTACCATGCCCAATACTAGTATCATTTCTTGCTTAGTGGCCATTTCCTCTAAACTGTAAAGCCTCTAACACACACACACACACACACACACACACACACACACACACACACGTGGCCAAAGACCTGATAGACAATAAGACAGTAACTGTTTGTCCTCTTAATGAATAATCAGTGCTCCACCTCAGATCTTCATCCTCACTGGTCTACAGGAAGCCAAGCTAATCCCAACAGGTCCTCTTCCCTAGACTTCCCAGTGTCCCCAGAGATCCATACCAAGATAGGCACCCAGTAATAATTGAGAGGCGGAGCTGTATCCTGCACAATCCGGATTCGGTGGGTGAAGAAGAAGAAAGCGAGGATCCCTGGAGAGAGGAGGAAACCAAAGTGGCTGAGAGCTGTCATCATCACACCCTGTCACACAGGGTGACATGCGGACTAGCAGCAGTTCTCAAGTTCAACCAGCTCCCAGATTTGGGAACAAGCTAGATGGTGCACTCACCCACACTACCCACAATCAGAAGCTTGCCCAACAGGAACAGGAAGTCGGTAACTTTGTCCAGGACAGCCACTCTGCAGGGGACAGGGAGGAGCACATGTCCATGTGGGTTCAAGGACTTAGGGAGGAGGGGAGGAAAGGAGGAGAGGAGGACGCCTCCCCTGACCTGATGATGTTTCTCATGAGCAAGAAGAAGGCGTTCCTGGCAGACGTGCAGAAGTTGGTGCCGTAGATGGCGATCTGGAGAGGAAGAGGTGGGATCAGGCCCACTGGCGGGGCGATGGAGGGGGGAGGCGAGGGTCTCCCACCATCAGGAGCTGGCTGGGGGGAAGGTTCACGGTCCCAGGTCCACTCACCATGATATAGGCGTTCCTGTTGAGGAATTTGATGAACTTTTCCAGGCACCAGAAGCAGCACTTGAGACAGGTCATGAGAAATTTGGCAAACTTGTTCTCTGCGGCTGGAAGAGAAAGGGGAAGGGATGCAGAGGTGAGGAGACTTTTCCGGACCAAGTCACCCCCACCCAACTCCCCAAGAAAAAGGAAACTTGATCCAGAGGCCTTAGCCCTGCCCCCAAGGGGCTACTTGAAAGTTTCAGCCCCGCCCCCACAGCACAGCCCAATCAAGATGAATCCTGCTGCCCCCCAACCAACAGCCAATCCTCGTCAAGAGCTTGGCACCACCCCTAAAATAAGCCAATCTCAAGCCGGGCATTAGTAGCTCACGCCTGTCATCCCAGCTACTCAGGAGGATGAGATCTGAGGATCAAGGCTCAAGGCTGTGGGATGGGGGGGATACGGGGGGAAAGCCTTAATCCCACCTACAAGGAACCAATGCCAGGGTTCTTGACCCGCCCCCCTCAGCAGAAGGAATGCATCCCAGTGGCCTGTCAAGGGAATCGGCCAGGTCAGGAACCAATCACAGAAGCCCTTTAGCCCCACGTTTCCCGCCCCCCTTACACACACCCCGCCCCAATCCTATCCCACACAAGCAGAAGCCAATCACAGTCCCACTTACTTTGGCTCCGCCCACCCTCTCAGCAAGAACCAATCCTAGCCTTCCATTTATCCACGCCTCCCTCCGAGAGCCAGTGGCTTACTTTGGTTCCGCCCACCCTCTCAGCAAGAACCAATCCAAGCCTTCCATTTATCCACGCCCTCCCTCCGTGAGAGCCAGTGGCTTACTTTGGCTCCGCCCACCCTCTCAGCAAGAACCAATCCTAGCCTTCCCTTTAGCCACGCCTCCCCCGTGAGGGCCACACCTTTCAGGCGTTGATCCAAATACTCAAGCAGCACTCGGATGATCTGCACAATGGCCAGAATGAGGGCACCAAACGCCAGCGATCCCGTGTGATACCTGCGATGAATCCGAGGCCGGGGGGTCAAGGGTGGAGCCAGAAAACGCATCCAACCCATCCTGTCCACTCCCTGTCTTACCTGAGCGCCCGTCCAAAGGCAGAAAAGAGCGGGAAGGCAGGCATGTCATCTGGCTTCCGCAGGGCCCAGTAGTAGGAGGCAAAGGCCCCTGCCAGGGTGACCTGACCCAGCGCTAGCACGAAGTTGGCCAGCCAGAAGAACATGAAGGCATTGAAGATCTGCAGCCCCAGCAGAGCACGGTGATAGCCGGACTCACCGCCATAGAAGGCAAACTGGCAGCGGCCATTGGGACAGAGACGCGACTCATTCAAGGAGGGGAAGTTCTGGGGAGGGACACGGTACCAAGTGAGAATACAGGGACCAGAAATTCACTGGGGGATGAGGGGAGGAATCACACTGAAGTCACAGAATTGAGGGCTCAGGAGAACGACTTGTAGAATGCACCTAAGGGGTACTAGAAGCAGGAGAGGCTATCAAATGGATCAAGAAAAAGGTCTAGTAGCAAGGGTGGGTAGGGTAGCACACTCCTGTAACAGCAGCCTATGATTTGCCGAATAACCTCCAGGTGGGACAAGAGGTTTGGAAACACCCAGGGGTCCAGGCAATAGCGACCCTCACCTCTCTAGGGACACGCACCTGAGGGTTACAGGTTTTCCCAACAAGTGGACAGGAGGCGTCATCAAAAATCTTATACACAGCTTCGTTAGAAGTGGACAGAAAGCTGGATGGGGCATTAAGGAACTTGAGATGTTGGGATTGAGGATCCCAGGGCATTATGGGAAGCCTTATTCCCACTAGATTCCAGCCCTGCCCCCAACCACTTCCCGACTCCCCAAAAGCTGCATACCACTTGGTCAAGTTTGTTATTGCCTTTTTTTTTTTTCTTCCAGTCATGGGGCTTGAACTCTGAGCCTGGGCACTGTCCCTCAGCTCTTCAGCTGAAGGTTAGCACTCTACCACTTGAGCCACAGCACCACTTCCAGCTTTTTCTGCTTATGTGGTGCTGAGGAATCGAACCTAGGGCCTCATGCATGCCAAGCGAGCACTCTACCCCTGAGCCATCTTCCCAGCCCCTTTATTTTTTTTAAGAGGAGAGGTTTGAGCTCCAGGCCTTAAGCACTTGCTAGGCTGGCACTCTTACCATTGAACCATGCCCCTTACTGCTGGACCACGCCCCTGACACTTGAGTCACACCCCTTCATGCTGGATCACACCCGTTATATGAAGCCACGCCCCCAACCTGGCTTTCCTTGGCTTATTATGAGGGATACACAGCAGTGCTGGCCCAGTAGGCGATACAAAGACACAGCAGGAAGAAGGTGACCAGCGGGTAGAGCATGGAGCACATGACGTACCCTACAGCCCTGGGGAAGACAAGAGAGGCAGCATCAGGATCTAAACAGCCCTAGAAGACAACCCCAGCCAGCCAGGGCCCCCCATCCCCCAAACTCCCTGGGCCTCTCACCTGCTGGCTTCTTTGATGAGCGCGATGGCAATGAGAATTCTCTTGCGGAGAAAGATGAGTAGCAAAATGATAATCACTTCCAGGATACTCAGAATAATCACTGCGGGGGAGGGGGGGGATGAGCTACTCGGGCACCTCATCCTGCCCTGTCTCCTTTCTCCTATCCTGCCCTGTCCCCCGCCCCCCACACACACACCCAACCCCAAGGCTTCACTACAACAGTGCGATTGACGCTGTTACTCACTGAAAGCCATCCAGGTCTGTCTTAAGTGCAAGTACACCCGGAGGTCTGTCTGGAAACCAAGATCTATCAGAGACACGTCGGAGCCAGCCTCACCGCGCAGTCGGGAATATTCCATGTAGCAGTGAAAGATTCCTGTACAAAATCCAAACCTCAGTCCATTCACTACTCCCCCCTACCCTCCAACTTTGCAAAACAGATAAAATTGCCCCCCCCCCCCCCCGCAAAGAACAGAAGTAACAGCCCACCCCATCCACCCCATGCTAGGAGGAAGTTGGGTGCAGTGGCTCACACCTATAACCCTAGCTACTCAGAAGGCTGAGATCTGAGGATGGCCAGCCCAGGGGCCCCAAATCCGTGGGACTAGGGATCATTCTGTCTCCGCCTCCTGGGTACTGAGATTACAGGCAGTGGCAGCAACACACTGACATAAACATTTTGAGATCTGGTCCACAGATTGAGTTGCCAAGGCATTTATCATCTGGGAGAACTTAAATGAGCAGTCAGAGTGTGACACATGGCTTCCTGAGCAACACCTCTGGGTCCCCGGGCTGTTCCCTGATCTTATCTCTCCCTTATCACCTTCTCTTGGCGCCTTCTACAGAGTAAACAGGAATTATACTCCTCACACTGAGGAGCAGATGGGACACACCGTGCCTTTAGTCACTTGCTCAACAAAGTAGCTGAGCCAGGGTTTGAACACCTGTCATGCAGCAGAGTGTTCATCCCTAGTCACTGTGTTAAAGAGCTTCTTTTAGGGGTTGTTGCTGATTTTTTTTTTTTTTTTTTTTTTTTGCCAGTTCTGGGGTTTGAACTCAGGGCCTGGGCTCTGTCCCTGAGATTCTTTTTACTCAAGGCTACCACTCTACCACTTGAGCCACAGCACCACTTCACCACTTCCGGCTTTTTCTGTGTATGTGGTGCTGAGGAATTGAACCCAAGGCTTCATGCATGCTAGGCAAGCTCTCTACCACTGAGCCACATTCCCAGCCAATGTTGGGATTTGTTTTTTTTTGAGACACGGTCTCTCCCTGTAGCCCGGGCAAGCCTTTAACTCTCAGTCTTCCCACGTCAGCCTCCCAAGGGATGGGATTAGAGATATAGAAGTATCCTTGAAGGGGCTGGGAAGGTGGCTCAGTGGTAGAGCGCTTGCCTTGCGTGCATGAGGCCCTGGGTTTGATTCCTCAGCACCACATAAGCAGAAAAAAAAAAGTCGGAAGTGGCGCTGTGGCTCAAGGGGTAGAGTGCTAGCCTTGAGCTGAAGAGCTGAGGGACAGCGCCCAGGCCCAGAGTTCAGGCCCCACAACCGGACCCAAAAGAAAAGGAGTATCCTTGAAGGCTGGGAATATGGGTTAGTGGTAGAGTGCTCACCTAGCAAGCAAAAGTTCAAGCCCCAGGACTGGCAAAAAAAAAAAAAAAAAAGAAGTAGAAGTATCCTTGAGCACAAAAGCTCAAGGTAAGACAGCACCCAGGCCCTCATTCAAGCCCTGGAACAACACACACACACACACACACACAATACTAACACAGCTGGGAGACAGTGGCTCATGCCTGTAATCCTAGCTACTCAGGAGGCTGGATCTGAGGATTGCGGTTCAAAGCCAGCCTGGGCAGGAAAGTCCATGAGACTCTTTTTGTTTGGTCAGTCATAAGGCTTGAACTCTGGGCCCAGGCGCTGTCCCTCAGTTCTTCACCTCAAGGCTAGCTCTCTACCACTTGAGCCACAGCACCACTTCCGGTTTTCTAGTGGCTTATTGGAGATAAGAGTTCCACAGACTTTCCCGCCCGAGCTGGCTTTGAACCACGATCCTCAGATCTCAGCCTCCTGAGTTCCTGAGTAGCTAGGATTACAGGCATGAGTCACCGGCGCCCGGCTCTGTGAGACTCTTATCTCCAATGAACCACCAGAAAACCAGAAGAGGCGCTGTGGCTCAAGTGGTAGAGCACTAGCTATGAGCTGGAGAGCTGAGGGACAGCGCCCAAGCCCAGAATTCAAGCCCCATGACCGACCAAAAAGAAAAAAAAACTAACAAACTAACATAAACATCTTCACCCAGATGCCAAGTAAAATTATTATTATTTTGTTGTTGTTGTTGGTTGTGGGGCTTTAACTCTGAGCTTGGGCACTGTCCCTCAGCTCTTCAGCTCAAGACAGCCCTCTAGACCCAGATCACCACTTCCAGTTTTCTGAGTGGTTTACAGGAGATAAGAGTTTCTAGGACATTCCTGCCGGGGCTGGCTTTGAACCGAGATCCTCAGATCTCAGCCTCCTGAGTAGCTAGGATGACAGGCGTGAGCCACCTGCGCTTGGCCAGGAAAATTATTCTTTTTTTTTTTTTTTTTGGGTCGGTCATGCGGCTTGAACTCTGGGCCTGGGCGCTGTCCCTCAGTTCTTCAGCTCAAGGTGAGCGCTCTACCACTTGAGCTACAGCGCCACTTCTGGTTTTCTGGTGGTTTATTGGAAATAGGAGTCTCACGGTCTCTCCTGCCCGGGCTGGCTTTGAACCACGATCCTCAGATCTCAGCCTCCTGAGTAGCCAGGATTACAGGCGTGAGCCACCAGCGCCCGGCAGGAAAATTATTCTTATGCCAAGGCTTCTAAGGTCTCCTAGCCAGCTTGCTGACTAAGTCCCTGCCCTGGGACCCCACCTGTTTACAAAAATCTGTTTTCCACAATGCTGTATTGTTTTCCTGGTGTGACGTACAAATTCCTGCCTTATTACACTCCTTCTCGGAATGCGACTCTTCCCCCATGCCCATAGCCACGTGTAAAGCCTTCTCTGAACAGACCCTCCCCCCACCCTGAATTCCCAGGTCCTAACCTTGTGACTGCCCCCTAATATTTTAACTTCTACCCACACCTGTCCACTGCTGCTGCCTCTGTTCCCACTTGGAGCACCCCGCAGATCTGTCCCCCAATAATGCCTCGAGCCCATATCGATCGATCACCTCTCATTGCTCACAGTCCTGAGGCTTGAACTCAGATCCTCCTTTTCTCACTCGCTCAAGGTCAGCATTCTACCACTTGAACTACAACTCCACTTCCAGCTGCTGCTGAACTGCACATGAAGAGCCTCATGCACTTTCCTACTTAGACTGATTTCAAACCTTGATCCTCAGAGCTCAGCCTCCTGAGTAGCTAGGATGATAGGTGTGAGCCACCAATATTCCAATATGGCTTAAATCTTTTTTTTTTTTTTGGTTAGTTCTGGGGCTTGAACTCTGGGCCTGGGCGCTGTCCCTCAGTTCTTCAGCTCAAGGCTAGCACTCTACCACTTAGCCACAGCACCACATCCGGTTTTCTAGGGGTTCACTGGAGATAAGAGTCTCATGGACTTTCCTGCCCGGGCTGGCTTTGAACTGTGATCCTCAGATCTCAGCTAGGATGCCAGGTGTGCACTACTAGCTCCCCACTATTGCTTAAATCTCTTGTCAGGCCATTGCCACAACCAAGGGGCATGAGAATCCTGCCACCCACAAGGAAAGAGAAGACCACCTACCATAGCCCAGGACCAGAATCACCATGACAACCATCACCCAGACCATAATGCCAGCCAGAAAGCGCAACAGGATGATGAAGAGGAGACTCAACACCATGGCGATGACCAGGCCTCTGGGGGGTAAAATGGGGGGAAGGGGGGAAGTGTCAGCAGATCTCCCCACTTCCTGGCAAATGTGGCATCCGGGGCGGAGCCAAAGTCACTTACATGACAATCCAGTACCAGGACACCGTGTAATCTTCAAATATCCGCATGGCCAGCTGCCGGGCCTCAAGGACTCCATTGGCCTTCCTGGAGGGAAGACAGAGAAGGCTCAGATCAGCCTCCATTTCTCCCATCAGGCTGTGCCCCTTCCCCTCCAAAGTGTCCACCCTATCCCCACCCAGGAGACAGTGACGCTGCTGGGGGGGGGGGGGGCGGCGGGCCTCACTTGGCGCCCTCCACCAGCTCCGTGATGTTCTTCCGAGATCCCAGCCCGTCCTCGTAGGTCGTCTCGTTGCCCACCATGAGGACCCCCTTGTGGGCGTGGATGGCGGGGAAGCACCGCTGGGCCACTGGACGGAGCAGAGGGAGAGAAGCGTGTCACCACCGCCCGGCCCCACAGATGGTCCGAGCTCTGTCCCCGCCCTCACCCATGCCACACTCACGGGGTTTGCTGGGGGTGAGGACCGCAGGGCACTCGCCATCTCGAAGCACTTCGGCCACCCCCTGGCAAAAGAGAGAGGAAGAGTGGTTCACACCTGTCACCCTCGCTACTCCGGAGGCTGAGATCTGAGGATCACAGTTCAAAGCCGGTCCAGGCAAGAAAGTCCGCGAGACTCTTATCTCCAATAAACCACCAGAAAACTAGAAGTGGTGCTGTGGCTCAAGTGGTAGAGGGCTCACCTTGAGCTGCAGAACTGAGGGACAGCGCCCATGCCCAGAGTTCAAGCCCCACTACTGACCAAAAAAAAAAAAGCAGCTCAGGGACAGTGACCAGGCTCTGAGTTCAAGTCCCTCACCTTATTGTTATTGAAGCCAGGAAGACAAAACTGCTTGTAGTAGTCAAAGTCTCTGGAGTTGCGCGCGTTGAGGAATGTGAGGTAGCGGTCCGGGCATTGTTCCACGCAGATCTGGAAGGACAGAAGGATGAGGATGGACAGGGCAGGGCAGGGAAGGGTAGACACAGGATCCGTGCTGTGTGATGGGAAGTGGGAAAAGGAACAGGGACAGGATACCTGAGGAGTGGGACATTGGAATTCCAACAGGACCAGGGGGCTGGCACACTTCACAATGTTGAAATAAAACAGGAAGGGTTTATTCCTGAGGTTGAAGAACGGAAAGAGTCAAGATTTCCCAAGCCACCCTATATAAAAAGCATCAGGAAAACAATACCATTGGCTGGCAATGTAGCACAAGGGAAGAAATGGATCGATTATAGTAAATAAATGTATATATATATATATATATATACACACACACACACACATATATATATATATATATATATATATATATACACACACACACACATTGTACAAGCTTCCTTTCCTTGGGATTCCTTTAAAAATACAATGTAACAACAGTTTACATAGTGTTTACATGGTGTCGGCTATTGCAATTCAGATTTAATGTCTGTCCATCTAGCTATTCATGAGATCCAAGAATCTCTGTTCAAAACCAGCACCAAGCAGAAAATAAACCCCTCCAATAAACCGCTCTGAAAACCAGAAGTGGCGCTGTGGCTCAAGTAGTAGAGCAATAGCTTTGCGCTGAAGAGCTGAAGGACAGCACCCAGGCCCAGAGTTCAAGCCCCACAACTGACAAAAATTAACTAAATAAATAAATCAAAAAGGGACATGAGCACCCCTTTAATTTAATTTAATTTAATTTTAATCTCTGCAAAGGGTCCTTGAATCCATCTTCACCCAATACTAAAGGAAACCCATAATTCACTGATAGGACTAAATAGATGACCAGCAATAGGAAAAGCCTAGAACATTCCCTGTGCTCACTAGCCCTTTGGCTCCCCAACCCAGCAGGTCCTGGGGAGACAGACTCACGCGTTTTTTGTGCCTTTCTGTCCACAGAACTCGCCCCGGCTATCAGTGGGGTAGATCACCTTCCGGGGATCCCCGTGAGTCCAGGCTGTGGAGGGAACCCGGGACACTAAGACCCTGCCATTTCCCAGCCCAGCCCTGCCCGGCCCCAGAGACAGCACCAAATCCTACACACCTATGATACCCACAGCCACGTAGCCCACGATGGCCAGGAGCAGAATCACGCAACAGATGACATCCGTGCATCCCCTGGGAGGAGAGAAGAGCATCAGGACACGCCCTGTGGACGTAGCATGGGGACACACTTGTGTCCACTTTCCTGAGCTCAAAAGGCTACACCTACTGTATTCTGATATCTCAATGCTATTTGGAGCCCCATGGCAGTGGCTCAGGCCTGTAAGCCCAGCTCATCGAGAGGCGGAGATGTGAAGGTGGAAAGTTTGAAGTCAGCCCAGACAGGAAAATCTGAGACTCCTCTTCTTTTTTGTTGTTGTTGGTTATAGGGCTTGAACTCTGGGCCTGGGCGCTGTCCTTCAGCTCTTCAGTTCAAGGCTAACGCTCTACCACTTGAGCCACAGCGCCACTTCCATTTTTCAGATGGTTAATTGGAGATGAGAGTCTCTTGGACTTTCCTGCCCGGGCTGGCTTTGAACTGGGATCCTCAGATTTCAGCTTCCTGAGTAACTAGGATGACAGGTATGAGCCACTGGCGCCTGGCATTTCTCTGTTTCTTTTTCTGATGCCAGTCCTGGGGCTTGAGCTCAGGGCCTGGGCACTGTCCTTGAGCTTCTTTTGCTCAAGGCTAGCACTCTACCAGTTGAGCCACATCAGTATGTGGCACTGAGGAATCGAACCCAGGGCTTTACGCATGCTAGGAGAGCACTGTACCAGTGAGCCACCTTCCCAGCCCTGTAAGACTCTTTTATTTATTTATTTTTGGGTCAGTCCTGAGGCTTGAACTCAGGGCCTGGGCACTGTCCCTGACCCAGTTTGTGCTCGAGGCTAGCGTTCTACCGCTGGAGCCACAGAGCTACTTCGGGCTTTTTCTGGGGAGTTTACTGGAGAGAACAGTCTCACAGACTTTCCTGCCAGGCTGGCTTTGAAAGGTGATCTTCAGATCTCAGCTTCCTGAGTAGCTAGGCTGACAGGCGTGAGCCACCAGTGCCCGGCTAGCTGTGAGACTCTTATCTCCAATGAACCACCAAGAAGCCGGAAGTGGCACTGTGGCTCCAGTGTAGAGTACCAGACGAGCAAAAAAAGCTCAGGGACAGGGCCCAGGCCCTGAGTCCAAGCACCTGTACTGACACACACACACACACACACACACACACACACACACACACAATAATAATAATAATACAGGGAACAGGAAGGGAAGAGAAGGGAAGAAAAAGGCAGGGAAGGGAAGACAGAAGAAAAGAGAAAAATAACAGAGAAGGAAAGCAAACATGAGCAGCAGCGGGCGACGCTGGGTGGTAAAGGCGATCAGGGTGTCAGTCCGCCAAGCCTCTGGGTTTGGCACCCAAAAACCAACCAAGCAAACCCCGCTTGTGAAGACTCTTTGTGCATTAAACAAACTAGTCCTTGTGGCAGGCTGCAAAATACTTCTCACCAGTTAGTTGGAAGTCAGATGGGGAGACGGTTGGAAAGATTTGGGAGGGGGGGTCCCCCTCCACCACCACCCTCCTCCCCACCCCAGGAACGCAGGAAGTGCCCTTACCTGTTGTAGATAGGCCCTTTGAAAGTAGGGTCATACTTTTGTGGAGTCCCTGTAAGACATCAGAAAAAAAAATCTGGGTGGCTCAGAGGACTTGGAACTTGGGGTGTGCCCCCCACCCCTCCCCAAGTGTCCCAGAAGCTTTGATAGTTAGGGGGCCCTGGACCTATGACCGGACCTCCCCCCAGGACCCACACACACAATTGGCACAAAGCTCCAAAAAGGGGAGTCACCAGTGATGAATAAAGTCATGATCAACTGGCGATCACCACTGAGGGGGTGGGCGAAAGAGGGGGACCCCCCCCATGGACCAAGGGGACCAGGGGGACAGTTCAAAGCAGGGCGATGAAGAGCCTGTCTGCAGGAGTCTCGGGGAGACTTAGCCCAAGATTGGAGGGGGGGGGAGAGGGGGGGCGGGGGTGCTCTGAGTGCCCCCCATCTCCAGGAGTGGACGGCCAGTCCCAGTCCGGGGTGCAGGGTGGGGGTGGGGGGAGGAAGGAGGGACCTCCGGCCTACCGTGCTTCCCGTAGTAATGCTGCCGATCGCCCCCCATCCCTGCGGGCGTCCAGCCCCCCCAAAAAGGCCCCCGCCAGCCGGCCAGCTCCCCAGGTCTGGACGCTCCCGGGTCCCCGGGGAGACACTGACCGGCCCCGGCGGGCGACAGGCGGTGACTCCGCCCAGCCTAGTGCCAGGCGGGGCGGCCCAAACCGGTCAGACCAGCCGGGAGCGGAGGGAGAAGGAGGGCAGGGGGGAGGGCCGGGGGGAGGGCCGGGGAGGGGCGGGGCCGACACCTGCAGCTGCCCCTGCCACTCACCCCAGGCCCGATTTAGCTCCCGCGCGCCCCACCCGCCCCTCCCAGGCCCAGCCCCCTCCCACCTGCGGCCGCACCTCGGGGGACACGTCCACCCACCCACCCGGACGCCCTGCCTGCATCTCCACCAACCCCGGTTCCACTTCTGCATCTGTGGAAACTGGGGCACAGGCAGCCACTTAAAGGCCAGGGAATCTGCAACGAGGGAGTTTTTGGGGTGTTTTGGGGGTGAATAGTCCGAAGACTGGAGTTTTGTTTTGCTTTATGGTTGAGCATTTAAACACGTGGTCAAACCCCTCACCACCCCTACACACACACACACACACACACACACACACACACACACACTCCCACGAACAAATCAACTTAAAGAAGCAGGATCTATGTTTGGTTCACAGGGGCGGAGGTCTCAGTCCACCATACTTTGTCCCGGTCCCAAACAAAAATTAAAAACACAAAGATAAATAACTCAATAGCCTGGTGTGCTAATGCACACTTGTTTTTTTGTTTTGTTTTTTGGGTCCGGTTATGGGGTCTGAACACTGGGCCTGGGCGCTGTCCCTCAGCTCTTCAGCGCTCTACCACTTGAGCCACAGCGCCACTTCCGGCTTTTTTCTTTTTGCTTATGTGGTGTTCCCCAGCTCCCAGGGCCTCATGCATGCAAGGCAGGCGCTCTACCACTGAGCCACCTTCCCAGCCCGTTGATGCACACTTGTAATCCCAGCTCTTGGAAGGCTGAGGAGCAGGATTGTGAATCAGAGGTCCGCATGGACTCCATAGCAACATTCTCTCTCAAAAACACCCAAAGCAATCAAACATAAAGATGGTCCTGCTGCTATCTCCGGAATTCCACCTCAGGCAGGAAGCCTGTGCTCACTAACTCACCTGGTCCCTAGAGAAAATGTGACTGCCTCCCAGAGGCCTCTGTGACGAGGCCCCATCTGACCCCTGAGCCTCAGGCTTCAGCCATGCCCTTGGGTGAACAGAACTCCCAAAGAACTCCTGTGGTTGTCAGAATCCCTGCTGGCCAGGGCCAGCCGGTGCACCCCACCCAGCTCGGCCCAGACACAGGCCTCTTCTGTCCTCACCTACACAGTCCCTCAGGGATCACCAAGACTCAGCACCACACCTACCGGGTCCCCACCACCGGTTCCCAAATGTCTGGGCTAGACCTTTGTGTGTCCCTCAGGAGACCACAGGCCAGCCTGCTCTGTGCGCCTGCTGCGACTCACTGGGGTTTGAACTTAGGGCTTTGCACCTGCTTGGTGGGTGCTCTACGGCTAGAGCCAGTTCCCCCACTGTCAGGATCACATCTTGAGCCCAGCCCCTAGGGCTTCTTGACCACGCCCCACTGTTTTGGCCACACCCCCACCACTTGAGTACCTCCCTGCGTTTGGCCACGCCCCCACTGCTTTGACCACGCCCTGCCGCTTGACTCCCATCCAAATGGCTTTGTCTACACTCCACTGAATCGACCAGGTCCTGACCACTTCGGTCCCTCTCTGTGGCTTTGACCACGCCCCCACTGTATTGACCACGCCCCATCACTTTGAGTCCCTATCGTGTTGACCACGCCCCCACCGTATTGACCCCGCCCCCACCACTTAAGTCCCTTTCTATGGCATTGACCCCGCCCCACTGCATTGGCCACACCCCTATCGCTTGAGTCCCCGGCTTAGGCCACGCCTCTAGTTTTGACCACGCCCCTCACCACTCGAGCCACACCCCCAGTCCTCCAAGCTTGTGACTGGCCCCCCAATCAGCCTTCCAGGAGCTGAGGCCAGGAACCTTCTTTTCAAGTTCACAGCCTTTAGAACCATCCAGAACACAAAGGTTCCTCACAGCCAGTCATTTCCTGCCTAGACTCCAGACAGACTCCACTAAGCTTCATGACCATCTCATCCTCCATAACTGTCACAGTATCTAGTCAAAGGTGCCTGGGAATACATGAACTAGAACTTTCCATGGCTCCCACATCCTTATCATGAGCGCACAATCTGCCCTGTCACCTTCGGACCCTCACCTCCTCCCACTGTCCCCTTGGCCAGGCTCCCCTCCAGCGGGAACCTCACTGCCTCAGGGCCTTTGCACTGGCTGTTCTGATCCGGCTGTATAGAAACTCTTCTAGACATACCAGGACACCTAGCCGCAGGCCTCTATGAAATATCACACTCTGGAAAGGCTTCCCTGATCAATTATCTAAACACCATAGCTTCCTTAGCTGGAGATGCAGCTCAGAGGTAAAGTTACAGGTGAGACCCCCACATCAAATCCCAGTACCACAAAGAAAACGTTAGCCCCAACTGTAATCCCAGCTACTCAGGGGACAGAGATGAGGAGGATCAATGTTCAAAGCCTACTCAAGAAGTTAACAAGGGGCTGGGAAGGTGGCTCAGTGGTAGAGCGCTTGCCTTACATGCAGGTGGCCCTGGGTTCAATTCCTCAACACCATATAAACAGAAAAAGCCGGAAGTGGTGCTGTGGTTCAAGTGGTAGAGTACTCTCCTTGAGCTAAAGGGCTGAGGGACAGCGCCCAGGCCCAAAGTTCAGGCCCCACAGCCGACCAAAAAAAGAAAAAAAAAAAAAAAATGAAGTTAACAAGACTCCCGTCTCAACAAACAAGCTGGGCATGGTGGTGCACATCTTAAATCCACATCTTAAATCCCAGATATGCAAAAGGCTGGAGGGGGCAGGATCTTGGTCTGCAGCGAGTGAGGATGAAAATTTGAAATCCAATCTCAAAAAAAGAGGGATGGAAGAAAGCTCACATCTGTGATCCCAGCTACTCAGGAGGCTGAGATCTGAGGATCATGGTCCTAAGCCAGCCGGACAGGGAAGTCCAGGAGTCTCTTTTTTTTTTTTTGTCGGTCATGGGGCTTGAACTCTGGGCCTGGGCGCTGTCCCTCAGCTCTTCAGCTCAAGGCGAGCGCTCTACCACTTGAGCTACAGCGCCACTTCCGGTTTTCTGGTGGTTTATTGGAGATAGGAGTCTCACGGTCTCTCCTGCCCAGGCTGGCTTTGAACCTCGATCCTCAGATCTCAGCCTCCTGAGTAGCTAGGATTACAGGTGTGAGCCACCAGCGCCCAGCTCCAGGAGTCTCTTATCTCCAATTAACCATCAAAAAGCTAGAAGTAGGGGCTGGGAAGGTGGCTCAAGTGGTAGAGTGCTTGTCTCCAATGCATGAAACCCTGGGTTAGATTCCCCAGCACCACATAAGCAGAAAAAGCCAGAAGTGGCGCTGTGGCTCAAGTGGTAGTGTGCTAGCCTTGAGCTGTAGAGCTGAGGAACAGCGCCCAGACCCAGAGTTCAAGCCCCATGACTGACCTACCCCCCAAAAAAAAATTAATTTGTGAGGCTAGGGTGTGGCTCAATAGTAGAGCGCTTGCCTAGCATAGATGCAGCCTGAAATTCCATCGCATAGCTAAAACAATTTCATTTGTTTTTTGTTTTTATGGTCATGGGGATTGAACTCTGGGCCTGGGCACTGTCCTTCAGCTCTTCAGCTCAAGGCAAGCACTCTACCACTTGAGCCACAGCGCCACTTCTGGGTTTCTGGTGGTTTAATTGGAGATAAGAGTCTCACAGGGGCTGGGAAGGTGTCTTAGTGGTAGAGCGCTTGTCTTGCGTGCATGAGGCCCTGGGTTCGATTCCTCAGCACCACATAAGCAGAAAAAGCTGGAAGTGGCGCTGTGGCTCAAGTGGTAGAGCGCTAGCCTTGAGCAGAAGAGCTAAGGGACAGCACCCAGGCCCAGAGTTCAGGCCCCACAACTGACAAAAAAAAAGAGTCTCACAGACTTTTCCTGCCCCAGCTGGCTTTGAACCATGATCCTCAGATCTCAGCCTCTTGAGTACCTGGGATTACAGGCATGAGTCTTCATGTCTTTTTACTTCAAAGACTTTAATGTAAGAAAAAGGTAGAAATTTCAGTCTACAAAGAAAAGCATAAATCTTTTCCTTCTGTAAGCCTGAAGTCTATTTAAAAGAAAGTAAATTTAACACCACCCTGATACATAACAAAACAAATTCCACACTGATTAATCATGCAAATATATAAAAACTCAAAACTGTGACCAGTAGCTTGAGCTATGTACATAGTTCAAGGGCAACTAGGTCTCAAAAACAACTAAAAGATTGAGCCAAGTGCCAGTAGCTCACACCTATAATCCTAGCTACTCAGGAGGCTGAGATCTGAGGATCACCACTCAAAACCAAACCAGGCAAGAAAGTCCATGAACACTTA